ATATGGGTTGGGGCTCGGCAAATTCCTCCCTTGAAACAACCTGCTACTCCAATATCTTTTATTAGTTTCATTTTTTTTACATAGCCGGCCGGCCCTTTCTCATGTATTACTTCATGAAAAAATAATAAAGATTTTACTTCGAATTTTTTAAATGTGTGTGCGTGTTTTATGTGTATACTATACATTTTCAAATATAAATTTTGTGTTCGCTTATCAATGAAAAATAATTTGCCCATATCTGGCTTGTAATAAAAAAAATTAAGCATCAAACTTAAAAAAGAGAGAGCAAAGAAATAACTTGATGCTGGGACTCGCATTAAATGGCCTAGGATCCGCGTACTCCCTTCCTCTTTGATAGCATTATATTATTTTGCTTGCTTCTCTAGCATTTTCTTATTCGTTATATGAAAAATCATTAATAAAGCTTCTCACACTTCGGGCATTTTTAATTGGCCGATTGACAGAACTGCGCATAATTTTCATATTAAATTGGCACATGACCGATTGGTGTAAGTGTCAGATTATCCAAAAAATTTTTTTATCCTAACACGTAAAATATTAACCATGTCCACGTCCACGATTATTGCAACGGAAAATTTAGCTGAAGAAATGGAAAGCTGGGGTCTTCACCATGCAAGTAAGCTTCTGCTAAAAACTTCTATGATCACAAGAAGCAACTTCAATATCTTCGCTTTCTCTTTCTAGCATACTGGAGTCGTAACCCAAGCTCTTGGGGTTGCTTGAGCGATTGGGATGTTCAATTTATTGAGGAAACTCCTGGTTGCACTAGAGACGAATCACATCGAAACCTTGGTATTGAGCTTAATATCCTTCTTAATAAATTTCCAAGCACAAGTCGACAATACTCGAAGGCAAACGCGTTGAAAAAGGCTTTGGGGGTTAGTGTCTTTCTTACTATGTTTTATTATAGGTGCACATTACCATGCCCTGCAGTCATGTTCTGAGCGATTCGTCGCACAAGACAACATACGTTGTTGTCTGAAGTGGGAAGTATATTATGGTCTGGAATTATAGGTCCCATTGTAATATGCGTCGGTAGCACCATTGATATTATTAGCTTATGACCCTGCAGTCATGTTCTGAGCGATTTTTTCGCACAAGACAACATACGTTGTTGTCTGAAGTGGGAAGCATGTTATAGTCTGATCCTTTGGGCTCCATTATAACATGTGTAGCTAACAGGCAATCAATTAAAAAATCTACGATAAAACACTTCGGACTAACTTTCTTTCATATTTTCGCTAAGAACTCTGATGGAGATTCCGCGAATATTTTGTTATGGGAAAAGCATCTCGAAGAATTAAAATCGATGGCTATTTCGGATCGGGTACATAGAGTATGTATTGTTTTTGATCTTACTAAACGTAACATTATATGGTGTTTACGATTTTCTTTAACTGTTTATTGTTAGCGCACTATCAAAAGTATTACTATATAAGAAGAAATTGGGCGAGCCGAAGAGCAGATATCAGAGAAATCAAAAAAACGTAAAGCTAGCACGAAGGGAAGTGAGATATCATTAAGCTCTTTCAGCAACAACAATGAAGAAGAGAATTACAACAAGCAAGAGAATGATGCTATAGCTAGTGGTACGTTGCAAATGAATATCTTGTGCTAAACGTTCGCTACGTCGCTGACACAATTGTTTGAATTAACTCAGATTCGGTTGATGATTTTCACGAAGTGGCGGAATCAATGATTGGGAAAGTGGAAAGAACAGCACTGATGGCGGATGATGTCAATTTGGAGGAAATTTTCGAAGGTTACTGTAATGAATGCGAAAATATCTTTGAGTGAGTAGAGTCGCATCTGTGGTTTATATGAACTTAAAATAGGTAGACTTACTTGCAATTATCATCTTTTATTAGCTTATGTTATAGTGACATAATGGATCTTAGACCTGCTTCAAAATTCTCAGAAAAAATTCCTGAAGTGATCTGGGAGAAATTCGTTACAAACACATATCCGGAACACGAAATATCTGAATCATGGGAAAAATTAATACAGGAGATCTTCAAGGTATGTTGCAATCTGGAATATTTTGGGGCTGATTTTTATCATTCATTCATTTATGTCCAATAGCCAAAAGAGACATTTGCAGGATGGATGGAAGTCTGGCGCGGACTTTATACATACGAAAGCAATAGAGACCCAACGATACTGCTGATAAAAGATGCAATACATAATATTCTTACCCCATAGTATTTTTAAGCTTTATAATCCTTTTATGCTTTCAATCTATGCGTTAAATATATATATTTTTTTTTTAGTATTGAAGCTTTCAAGGCGCCATACAATCTATTAAAATCAGGTAGCCTTGGGGAGAATCAGTATAACTCACAATTTGTGAGTCCAATATTGAGTAATACACTCAAGGTTATCCTTGATGTCAACTGGAGAATGTAAGTGAATTCAATTATCTTTCCTAATAATATTCATTGACAGTAATTAATTAAAATCATGACATTTACACTGTTATAGCCTTGAAGTCCCTGTTGAAAGTAGCAAGCACCGACGTAATGCTAAAATAAACCCAATTATTGACACTGTCTTGGAAGCCAAACGTGCAGATGGTCTTGCCTGCTTCTGGAAAAGTAATGAGGAAGTGTTCATATATGAACAGACGGGACCGCCAGATTTCGATGATGTCACTCAAATTGCCATCCATGATTACAAGTTAGTTCGGACCATGAGAGATGTACTAAATCAGAGAATAATGCTTCGTCTTAGAGATGGAATATCAGATAATAAAAATCTAGCAAGCTTTGGTGCATTTGGACATCGCACTGAGGTATCCTTATTTTGGTGTACAATGCACCAAAAATCGTATTGCCTTCAAGAATTCGGAAGTTTTAAAGTTCCTACAATTTGGCAGGAACTTCCTGTACTAGCTGAAGCAATTATAACCTGCCTGAAATTTTTTGTGAGTATATGAAGTTTAGATAATTCTACTCATTCCCTATTTTTTCTAATGATTGTTTTACATTTAGTTCTTTATGAAAGAAAATGTCAAAGAGGTTAGGTTATATACTGACCAAAAAAATAAGTTATTTGTCAAGCGGAAAGTTCATGCAGTAAAGCAGAATCCACCATCACCAAGCCGACCTAAGAAACGAAAAAATAAAAAGAATTAGCTATATTTTTCCTAAAATGATTCTATTCTATCTAAAGATTGTGCAACGATAACTGCAAATGCGACTTAAATATCAAATTGTAATTAGGTTTGCCTGATGTGGGTCCAAGATTTTTTAATATATGTATTCCTGTGTGCGGTGTTGTGTGAAGTGTGTACTGGGAAAGTGTATATGTATTAGAATAATAAAAGTACTAGATTAATCTGAACAGGAGTGTATCTGTGTATGCAATAATTTTTCTTAGCAAAGTAATTAGTGTTCCGAAAAACGGAATGTGTACATGATTTTTTCATCGAGGCTAACAAATGATTTTTTTTCAGACACTAATTGCTAAATCTTAAAACAAAAGGTTTAACTTATCCGGCTAAAGAAATCTGATTGGCCGATCATCTTGTGATTTATAGAAACTCGCCAGCACCTGGAACTCGCCTAGAACTATCGAGGAACTGGCAGGGAGCTAGGGTGATACATGTGATGTGATGTGATATGATATACGTCATGCCACAAACCGATCGCTGTGCATATATAAAATTAGCATATGACCCTATATAAATCCTGATATGCTTGTAATCGAATAAAAATGATTTTGGATTTACTAGCATGTAGTCTCTCTAATCGGCTACAAATCAACTAATCGCTAATCAATAAACCCGTATAAATTTGAATCATGATATTATCTAGTATAGGTTGATAAAGAATCGATATAACACACTGAAATTGCTATAATTC